TTTTGTTTTCGAAATTAATATAAAAATATTGAAAAAATCCAAAAAAACTAAAAAATCCCAAAAAATCCCAAAAAAATCGTAAAATTTGTCGAAAAATAGCAAAAAATAACCGAAAAAAAGGTAAGAATTGATTGATTGTTGTCTCCGCTGACCCGTTGACCGTTTCCATGACAACAGATGAACCCTTCGGGCCCCTCCTATCCCATGGCGTCGCTCTACGTCGGCGACTTGGCTCCGGACGTGACGGAAGCGATGCTCTTCGAGAAGTTCTCGACGGCCGGACCCGTGCTGTCCATCAGAGTGTGCAGAGATATGATCACAAGACGCTCTCTCGGCTACGCGTACGTCAACTTCCAACAGCCGGCAGACGGTAAGTGTCACGTGACGGACGCAGTGATGACGTCACGCCAACTCTCACCGAAGGCCGTCTCGAAGGTCACTCGGAGTCCGCGAGGGCTGAACCCACCGAACACGTGACCGGAGACGGCCCGTGACGTCACTGAGAGTTGGCAGTCTGAGCGTCGCGATTGGTCGCCAGGCGTTGACTCACATTCTTGCATTCTTGCAGCCGAGCGCGCGCTGGACACGATGAACTTCGACGTGATTAATGGGCGGCCCGTGCGCATCATGTGGTCACAGCGCGATCCCTCTCTGCGCAAGAGCGGCGTCGGCAACATCTTCATCAAGAACCTGGACAAAAGCATTGACAACAAGATAATGTACGACACGTTCTCCACGTTCGGCAACATCCTGTCGTGCAAGGTCGCGCAGGACGACGAGGGCAACAGCAGGGGGTATGGCTTCGTGCACTTCGAGTCGGAAGAGGCGGCGACGAACGCCATCGCCAAAGTGAACGGCATGTTGTTGAACGGCAAGAAGGTGTTCGTGGGAAGGTTCGTGCCGCGGAAGGAGCGCGAGAAGAACATGGGCGAGCGCACGCGCCGCTTCACGAACATCTACGTGAAGAACCTGAGCGAAGAGTACGACTGCGACGAGAAGTTGCGCGCGTTGTTCGAGCCGTACGGGGAGATCTCGTCGGCCAAGGTCGTTCCCGACGACTCGGGGAAGAGCAAGGGCTTCGGCTTCGTGTCGTTCGAAGAGCCCGAGATGGCGGAGAAGGCGTGCGACGACCTGAACGGGAAAGAGCTGTCGAATGGGAAGACGCTGTTCGTGGGGCGCGCGCAGAAGAAGGCCGAGCGCCAGGCCGAGTTGCGGCGCAAGTTCGAGCAGCTGAAGATCGAGCGCCTCAACCGCTACCAAGGCGTCAACCTGTACGTGA